ACCGTATACGACCACACGAGGCATGACCTCCACAGGTCAGTAACCACTCCACCATCTGTTACCCAATTGCTCCAGTGGTGGATTAACCACACAAATCTCCTTGCTGGTATGCCTTTTCACTCACAACTGCCATCTCATCACATAACCTTGGAAGCCTTCCTTCTGGGCTGTGGAGCACAAATGGACAACATTTCAATCCAAAGCTGCTAGTCACTTTCTGAGACACGGCTCCATGTAAACCTTCTGGAGCTTCGGGCATTCTTCAATAATTGCAGATCTTTCCTCAGTCATATCTGCAATACCACCGTGAGGATACTCACAATGTCACTTCAGTGTATTATGTGAACTGCTAAGATGGAGCTCACTCCCGCTCCCTCTACATGGAAGCGATCTGCTTTTGGAACTGGTGTATTCGCCATGGTATAACACCAGTGGCCTCTTACTTATCTGGCATCACGAACATTCGGGCAGACTTTCTCAGCAGAAATTTTGCGCTGGAGCATGAGTGGGAACTGCACGACGAGTGTTCCATATTCTCTTCCAACGGCGGGGCACTCCCCTAATAGACCTTTTCGCCACGCTTCAAAACACCAAATGTCAGAAGTACTGTTCCAGGGCTGGACTTGGTCTGGACTCCCTCGGCGACGCGTTTCTCCTCAACTGGAGCGGACCTCTCCTCTATGCATTCCCACCTACAGTTCTCATTCTCAGAGTCCTGCAGAAGATAAAAACGGACAGCGCCACAGTCATATTAATAGCACCAGCATGGGCCCTTCCTTCGGCGCATGTCACCATGCAAACCATACCAGTTGCCAACCCTTCCAAACCTTCTCACTCAGAATCAAGGGACATTACGACATTCACAAATACATACCTTACAACTCATATATACCTTGCGACTCACAGCATGGCTCCTAGTTGGCTGAATCCCTTTGATCTACTCAGGTTCAAAACGTACTCATTCACAGTAGATGGCAGACAACGAGAAATACTGAACTCTCAAAATGACACAGCTTCGCTTCCTGGTGTTCCTTGCAGCAGCTGCTCCCGTATTCCGCTCCACTTCGTGTCCTCGATTACTTGCTACATCTAAAAAACACAGGTCTAGCATTAGCTTCTCTCAGAGTTCACCTCGTGGCGATCTTGGCCTTTCGACAGCCTGTTGAGGAAACCACCCTTTTCGCTTACCCAACTACTAAGAGATTCATGAAAGGTCTATCGAATATAAGTCCTCCTCGTAAACCTTTTCCCCCAGTATGGAACTTGGACATTGTTTTGAGTGTCCTAACCATGTTGCCATTTTAATCATTAGCTACCATACCTTTGCGCACCTTAACCATGAAACTAGCTTTCCTCCTCGCAGTTGCATCAGCACGCAGTCAGTGAGCAATCAGCACTAATGACAATTCCACCCTACACTATCTTTAACAAAGACGGGGTAGTCTTAAGGCCACATCCAGCATTTATACCAAAAGTTTGTTCGTCCTTCCATATCAACTAACCTATTATCCTGCCATCTTTTTACCCTAAGCCTCACTCCTCTTCACATGAAATGTCTCTCCATACACTAGACATTCGTAGACCGCACGAGATGTTTTAGGAAAACTGACCAGCTAATCGTCTCTCTAGCCGACAAAAGTAAGGGACAACCATTATCGTCCCAGTATATTTGTGAACTTATAACCATGTGTATAACACAGTCTTATGCCTCTAAGGGGTTACCACTCCCAACACAACCCCGAGCATATTCCACACAAGCAATGGCAGCATCAACAGCTTTTCTCAAAGGAGTTTCTCTGAAAGACATTTGCAGAGCAGCCACGTGGTCTTCATATGCCACCTTTGTTAAACACTACTCTATCTGACAAAAGTGGCTCTCGACGCTGTGGTGGCATAAGTGGTGCTCTCATCAGCAGACAAACAGGTACTCTGTATCCCACCTTCCGGCACATGAGGGTACTGCTGCTTAGTCACCTATAGTGGAGCACCCATGGGGACTCCACTCAAAGAAGAAAGCGAAGTTACTCACCTTGGTGCAGTAACTGTCGTTCTTCAAGATGGTTCCTGTGGGTCTTCCACTACCCGCCCTCCTCTCCACTTTGGGTCTCTCTTTCTTTCTACTGTTTCACAGATTCCAAGGCAGCCTCAAGGAACTGGTAGGGGCCGAGCACAGAAAAGAGCGCGAATGCCGCGAGATGCTGCCGTGCATGCGCAGTCCGGCCGAGTACTGCTACTGAAGAGTCTCCATTCTGCGGCACCGGGACGAGCCCAGCACCTACAGTGGAGCACCCACGGGGACCATCTTGAAGAACGACAGTTACTGCACCAAGGTGAGTAACTTCACTATATTGTATCAGTTTTCAATGCTTGCGGATTCGTAGTGAATTTTTAAGCAACCAATAAGCCTTAATTATCATCATCTTGGTCTTTTCATCCTAATTCTCCCTTGTCCTCTTTCTTGTATGGGTTTACATTCCTGTTCATGATGAGGAAATCTACCAGCAAGAGGGAACCAAAAGTGATTTACTCACTGTGTGGGATTTCTGTTCTGTCTCTTGAGCTAACATTTCCCTGTAGCCCTTTATTAGCATTTTTCTTATAAAGTTATATAGTAGTTTCCTCTACTTGATATTCAGTGATGGATAACATAAGATTAAGGATGGAGATCAACCACTAATGCCCCCTTTTTTCCACTTTTCACAATCTCTATCCTACTTCTCTGAAAAACTCCTCAGTAAAAAATAATTGTTTTCTTGAACAGAATATGTTGTATTTGATGAGGAGACTCCACTTTGACACACATCTTCTTGTGTTGGTCATCTTGTCAATCCCCAGAGCAGGATTGTTTTTAATTGTCAAAGCAATATAACTAGTGGAATAACTTACCAGTAGTGAATTATCCATCTCTGACACTTTTTACATCAAAACTTAGATGTTCTTCTAAAGATGTGCTCCAGGCACTAGATTATCACATTGATCCCTTCCAGGCCTTAGAATCTATAAATCAGTGACTGTTAAACAGTCTCTCACACTTCATCCAGGCTACCTTTTAATATCTCAAAAACTTGAGCTTTCACTTCCTGCTGTGAGGGATTGTTTAACAGTCACAGATTCATAGATTCCAAGGTCTGAAAGGGATCATTGTGATAATCTAGTATGACCTCCTATATAACACGGTCCTTTGAACTTCCTCAAAGTAATTCTTGGAGCACATCTCCAAGGGAGGGAGGAATAGCTCAGTGGTTTGAGCATTGGCCTGCTAAACCCAGTGTTGTGAGTTCAATTCTTGCGGAGGCTGTATAGAGATTTGGGGCAAAAAATTGTCAGGGATGGTACTTGGTCCTGCTGTGAAAGTAGAGGACTGGACTCAATGACCTTCAAGGTCCCTTCCAGTTCTAGGAGATAGGCAATCTCCATTATAAAATCTTTAGCAGAACATCTAAGTCTTCATTTAAAATTTGTCAGAGATGAAGAATTCACTATTGTTAAATAATTCCAGTAGTTATATTGCTTTGACAGTTAAAAAGATACTCATTTCCCATTTTAATTTGTCTAGCTTCAACTTCCTGGCATTGGAACATGTTGTATATTCCTCTGCTAGATTAAAGAGATCATTATGCAACATTTGTTCCCCATGTAGCTACCTTCACATTGTAATTATTACCTATTAAATGTCTCTTCTTTAAGATAGATTGAGCTCTTTGTTTTCTAATCCTTTAATGATTCTCATGACTGTTCTCTGAACCCTTTCCAATTTTTGAAGAATATTCTTGTATTGTGGATACCAGAACTGGACACACTATTCTGACAGAGGTCACACTAGTACCATATACAGAGGTAAAGTCATCTCTCTACTCGTACTCAAGATTTCCACTATTTATGAATCCCACAGTCACATTAGTTCTTTCAGCCATAGTATCACACTGAGGTGAGAGGTCATGTTCAACTGGTTATTTATGATGATCCCCAAATATTTTTCCGTGTCACTGCTTCCCAGGATATAGTTCCCCATGCTGCAAGTAGAGTTTTGCGTTCTCTGTTCCTGAATGTATACATTTATATCTAGCTGTATTAAAGTACATATTGTTTGCTTGCACCAGTTTTCCAAGCAGTTCTGATCAGTAACCAGGGACTCATGTCAGTATTTTCCCCCCGATATTAAGCCTAAATATCCCTTTGTCATGCCATTTTTCTTAATTGTGTCCTCTTGAGCCACACAGTATATTTCTTTCCCATTCTTAATGTATACACCCTTTAAATTTTGTAGACAGCTAACATTCTGCGCTTTAAAATATTTCTTAGAGAAGCTATATATTTAGCGCTTTTAATCTTCCTTCATAAGTCAATCTCTCCAACCCCCTAATTATTTTTGTTGCTCTTCTGTGAACTCCCTGTAATTTGTCAATATCTTTTTTTTTTTTAAGTGCGCAGGACAGAATGCAATATTCTAGGTGTGTAATTACTTCTCGGTGATATTACTTGGTGCCTCTGAGTGTAGAGATTCTATTTTTATTACCATGGCACATCACAAATTAACATCTAATATGCTGTCTACTATTGCTTGTTGGTCTTTACAGCATTACTGCTCATGTGTCAGATCTGCATTTCTGAACAGATCTCCCAAGATTTCGTCACTTGCATTTTTCCTTGTTGAATTTCTCTTTGTTACATTCTGCTTATGTTTCTAATCTTTCAAGCTACTTTCTCCAGCTGTCACTAGTTTGGGCAAAATTATCTTGCTTCTTGATTATATTGCTTGTATGACTTTTGGAAAAGAATTTGTAATTTTATATATGTCTGTCTTTGCTTCAGCTCCCTTATATCTATTTCTACTGTTTCTGAGATCTAGTTTTGAAACAGTTTGAAAGAGTGATCTATTATGGTGATTTCCACATGATGGTAGTTTCCTGTGTGATTATCAGCATAAAAGCAGCAGTTTCTATTCTTATGTAATACATTTATTTACTGTCTACATTTAAAACAATGCTGTTTACCTGCAGGAGGAGGAGGAAGATGCTTATGAACAAACTCTAGAATTCCGCAGAGGAGGTGATGGCCAGCCAAGACGGTCCACGCGACCAACCCAACAGTTTTATCAGCCCCCAAGGGCTAGAAACTAATAGGAAAAAATAAAAGGTAAATATGTGATGGTGACATTTTATTTGTGGGTTTCAGTTTCAACAAAAGTACATCTGGTACCCTACTGGTTATAATATGACTTCTTCAGAGTTGCTGCATTTGAAAAGAAAAATAACTTTGTCAAATTATTTTCTGAAGCTTTGCCAATGATAGGGTTGCCTGGAGGCCTTCAGAGTTGAGTTTCCAGTGCTGAGTAGATTGAATAAGTACAATAAATTATGGTAATTTCTATTATGCAATACTAGGTCCATATTTACAATTTAAAGTTCCTAAAGGGGAAGAATGGGTGTTTCTTATAAAAAGTTTTATTGAAATAAGTAAGCAATAACATGACATGGCCTGCTTTGTATTGTAAAAATAGCATTTTTCAGTAGTATTATGAGGCCTTAAGCCAAAAACCCACACATAGAAATGACTATTATTACAGCTTAATGCATGTACTAGAGTGTTTGTGTCTTTGTAAAATACTTGGTTTTAACAATTATACTCAATTAAAAAGTTCCGTATTTTCCTTTAAAATATTTTGTATAGGTAATGATAAAACATTGTGTAATCTTTAAAATAAAAATTTACTATTGTCTGTTTTTTCAGAATCAACCCTTTGCTATCAGGCAGAGAAAAAAGCTTTTGGAGAATAAATTTGATACTGTTCTGTGTTGATTCAGTTTTGTTTTGTTTTGTTTTTACTATAAAGAGATAATATCTTGTTTAGGTTATAAATTGTGCTGACATAATTGTGTAGACTAAACATAGACAGATAAAAAATATATATTTGGCATTTTTTTCCTTGAATGTTTTGATGAGGTATATCTGAATATTAACAGCAGAATGGATCTATCCAGTTTATTGCACTGAATGCAGTATATATCTTTGCCTGCCTTGTGATAGGTGGCATGTGTTCACAGAGACAGATCAGGGTCCTTGACCCAAAGCAAGTGGGACCCCATCTGACTTCCTCCACACCCAATGCACTCCCCTTTTCTCTTCCCCTCCCCCACAGCATTTCTGTGGGAAAAAAGGTTTTGGGACACAAGGGGCTTGCTTCAATCTATCCCCCCACCCAGCACTCATTCCTGGGAGCTGTGTCAGGACATGAGAGCTTCCCTTGCCTGCCCAGCATTACTACTGGGGAGTAGTCTGTACTTGGGATCCTTCTTTCAGATGATGTCACAATATTCTCTCAGACAGAAGATACCCCTTCTAGGAAGGAATCCCAGTTATTAGGAAAAGACAGATAATACTAATGAGGGATTTAATTATTGGACATACAGATAGTGGGGCTAGTAATGACCGGGAGAGTCTCTTGGTGAATTGCCAGTTTGGTACAAAAGTTTCAGACCTTTCATGCCATCTAGATCAACTCATGCACAATGCTCAGTTGTGGCAGATGTAGTCACGACTGACATAGGGAGAGGCAGAAGAGAGGTTCTGGAGGCCAAATTTTGGGTTTTAAGAAAAATTGGAAGCCCAGAACCACCATGGTAGTATTCTCTGAAATGCTTCTGGTTCCATAGTCAGGGTAGGTTAGTTAGGCAGAATCTCAGAGTCTCAATGAGTGGATGAGATAATGGTGTTTGGAGAAGGGATTTAGGTTTATTACAAGCCAGGGAAACTTTTGGGAAAGGAACAACCTATATAGGAAGTTTGGGCTCCACCTAAACCAACATGAAACCAGATTGCTGGCATGCAAAATTAAAAATGCCACAGAGGAGTTTTTAAACAAAGCCTGGGGGTGGTGGTGGGAAGCTGACATATGTGGAGGAGCACATAGTTTGAGTAGACACATCCCTTAGGGAAGGATTTATTAACAGGGATACTCTATATCCTATTCAAGAGATGAGGAATAGAGTTTGATAAAAGCACAGGCAGGAATTAAAGAAATGCAGACAAACAAGAATCCAATTTAATTATATCACATGAAGGCATAGAGCTAAATAGTGATACATTTTATAAATGCTTTCATACAACTGCAAGGAGTCTTAAGATGAGTGAACTTGAGTGCCTGGTAATAAATTAGTTCATTGATATAACTGGCATCGCAGAAACGTTGTGGAATCATGATAATCCATGGGACATGATAATACCGGAGTACAAATATATAGGAATATTAGAGTATGTCATGTGGAGGGGAAGTGGCACCACGTGGTCCAAGTTAGCTGTTGTTACTCAATAAATAGACGTTGGTGTCATTGTAGATAGTTCTCTGAAAGTGTCCACTCAATGTATAGCAGCAGTCAAAAAAGGCAGCGGGATATTAGGAACCTCTAGAAAAGATAGATAAGACAGAAAATACCATAGTGCTACAGTGTAAGTCCATCATATTTTTCCACCTCAAATATTGAATCAAATTATTTCTGTTCCATCTGAGAAAAGCTATATTAGAGTTTGAAAAAAGTACCAAGAAGGGCAATACAAAGTTAGGAATATGGAACAACCTCCATATGAGAAGAGATTAAAAAGACTGGGACTGTTCAGTTGAGAAAAGCAATGTCTAAGGGGGTATATAATACAAGTATGTAAAATCATGAATGGTGTGGAGAAAGTGAAAAAGGAAGTGTTATTTATTCCTTCACATAACACATGAACCATATGTCACCCAATGAATTTAGTAGGCAGCACGTTTAAAAAGAACATAAGGCAATACTCCTTCACACAAGTTACAGTCAGTCTGTGGAATTTGTTACCAGGGGACTGCTCCTGTTTTTTCCTGTCCAGATGCCTGTTCCTTGTATTCCATGTCCAACCTTCCAAACTCTCCTCTCAGATACATAGGTGAAATTCCTACTGAAATCAGTATTATCTTCCTTGATCCAAGACTCTCATGATCTGGCCCATTATGAGCCATATACACAGCCAAGTAACTTCTCTTTTTGTGTTGACTTGATGAGCCCAACAAAGAGTTCACAACTCTCACTTTAGAGCCTAGATCTCAATGGACCAAACATGGAAGTGTTATATGAAAGAATACTGGACTTAAGCTCACACAAAAAACTGCAAATCTTCACTGTCTGAATTGTTAGGTAAGATCTCATTGTAGCCATAGTATATTAATTTCTTTGTAGTTTCTGATTTTAAAATGTCGATGATTCATTCTCTGAAAATTTAATTGGCATCTATACTAACAAAATTAAAAAAGCAAACCATATAATCTCTAGATCAGTGTTCCTTAAATTGTGTTCCGCAACACACTGGTGCGCTGCGATGCAGTCAGAGGTGTGCTGTGGAGAACAACAGAGTTCAAAATGGCCACCCTTAAAGGGGCCAGGCGACCTTCAACCTTTTTTTTTGCTCGATAACTTCCCCCCGACTCCCCCCCCCTTTTTTTTTTTGCTCTGCTCAACAAAAAATGCTTAGTGTTCCTCATAAAAAAAAATTGTTTCATGTTCCTTGGTCTTAAAAAGTTTAAGAAACACTGCTCTAGATACTCAAAAAGCATGATGTTACCAAATTAAAACTATAATACAGTTAACAGCTGAGTTACCAAGTATGCCCTGCGTGTTAGCTTTTTTTCTTACTTGAGGATCTAATAAATCCTTCAATTTTTAAGTGTTGATCAAGAGTCTATAATGAGTGAAGTGATAGGTCTTAAAAGTCATCGTGTTTGGTAAGCATTAACCAGTGAATCTTTTTCACTTGCCTCTCATTTTCTTGTTTATTTTTATTAAGCAAGTACTTTAATTTGTGGTTGGCTTTTTCTGTCCTCTTCCTCCTCTCATTGCTTGGAATATATTGCTCTAAATTCCTTTTCAAGGTCCATTTTCTAGAGTATGGTTTCACTACAGAATTAGTCTAGATTAATGTTGGTCTCAACCCAAATCCTCTTCTCTCCATACTGAATCCTAACCCAGTTTTGAGGGCGCTTTTAAGACAATTAGCAGGTATGACTTTAGTTAGGGTTTCACTTCAGCTTGGGCTGGTAGTCTATCTACTTTGCAGTGAGAATGTAGGATAATGAAACCTGGGTGCTGTTAGTCCTCCAATCATATCCCACATTTTCATCTGGTTTGTTCTACTTTTTTAACTAATCCGTTCTTCCTCACTGTATTTTAAAACCCCAAGTTCTGGGAGAAAAACAGCTATTTGATGTATCTTTCTCAGCAAATGTTGAAATAAATAGCTTCTATGATGAACTGAAAAAGGAAAAATTTAATTCCTTCAGCTGCAGAATAATTTTTAACTATGAGGGTAAAGTATAGCGATATTTCAGGGGCTTTTTATTGGGACTTAGGATAAAACATGCTGAGCAATTATAGTTAGTTTCATGAGACACATTTTAAAAAATCCTCTATTTTAAAATAAATTATATTTATCAGTTTTCTTAGCATAATTTAATTACTAACTATAGAGTATGTTTGTTTGTTGTGCAGGTATTTTTCCATCTAACTATAATTTAGAGAGATCCTTAAAAAAAAACATTAGACAGTTTGCAACAATGTTAGGAAGATCTTATTTGCCATAGAGTGTATGTTTAAACTGCAGGACACGGTCGAATTAAGATAGCAACTTCAGCTACATTAATTGTGTAGCTGAAGCCACAGTAGTTTAATTTGGCTTTGGCACTCTCCACACTACAAGAACTCAGAGGGAGAACACTCTCCCTTCAACTTCCCTTACTCCTCATGAAAGCAGGGTTACCAGCATCAGCTGGAGTGTCCCTCTCACTTTGAATTAGCTATCTTAAGTAGACCACTAATTCAAACTCTGGAAGATAGAGAGCGGCAGTTTCGATCTATATAGTGTAGATGTACCCTGATAGAATAATTTGCTCATTGGAAAAAGTTTCTTCCTAAAAATCAGTTAGTGGTTTCCTTATGTTGGGAAATATGAGGGTTGCTACCCATCCCCCTTTCTATATTTTTACCTATTATGTAATTGAGAATGTTATCATTAATTATATAAATGCCTAATACTTTTTTGAATCCTTTATACTCTATAAATTAGATCCTGGCCCCAGAGCGGCCAATGCGAAATTCTAGGATTTCACTCTTTTATCTCACGGCAAAATGTTCTTTTTAGAGACTAAAATTTGTTGACTTTCATTTTAAGTCAATATCCTTTTGTTCTTGCAATATGAAGGAGAGTAAGATGATAGTTAATTTTGGTTGCCCCTTAAATCCCTTATTTTCATTTCACTAAATTAAATAATCTCAATTTTTTAAAATAATTCTATTATGGAAGTCTCAGAAGGGTAGCTATGTTAGCCTGTAACTTTAAAAAAAAATAGTATCATGAGCTTTTGTGTGTGGAACAAGATACTAAACAAAGTGCCAAACATGAGTCAAGAATAAATTGTGACTGCTCAGTTGCCAAAATTAAAGGGAAAAATTCCCAAGACAGCAAGGTAATTTAGCATATGACCAAGAAAAGTCCGTGTCCTCTCACCTCAGAAACACTAGGGCTGTGTCTAGACTGGCAAATTTTTGCAGAAAATCTTCCCAGCTGTCTACACTGGCCGCTTGAATTTCTGCAAGAGCACTAATGATCTCATGTAAGAAATCAGTGCTTCTTGCGGAAATACTATGCTGCTCCCGTTCGGGCAAAAGTCCTTTTGCGCAAAAGGGCCAGTGTAAACAGCTCAGATTTGTTTTGCTCAAAAAGGCCCCAATCGCGAAAATGTGCAAAAGAGCGTCTAGATTGGCACGGATGCTTTTCCTCAAAAAGTGCTTTTGCGGAAAAGCGTCCGTGCCAATCTAGACGCTCTTTTTTCCGCAAATGCTTTTAACGGAAAACTTTTCCATTAAAAGCATTTGTGGAAAATCATGCCAATCTAGACCTAGCCAAGTGGTATTCATTGCATAGTATGGGTGGAACATCCCCTCTGCAAAATCCTACCCAGACCAGACCCATGCAAGCTATGTCCACAATGGTTCCATATCAGCCTGTGCCCTGGGCTGGATTTATAGTAGGATATCCCACGCAGTACATTCAGTCATGCCACTCCATAAATTAATGCACTTTATTATGGAAGAAACTGCCATTGCACTGAGATTCCATCTGCTCAATTCCCTCTGCTGCTGGCTTCTCAGAGTTATTGTCATTGCACAATTGATTCAGGGTCCATTCCCTGAATTATGGGTCTTACTGAGACCATACACACAGCTTCACCAGAAGGCTGGTGTCAGTGTCTGGCAAACTGGAAGCATGGGAGAAAGATTTCTTGGCTGGAATCACTGTTAAAATGGTGGTGAAATGCAGCAAAACTGAAGCAGGGAAATAAGGTTATTGGCCAAATGTATTTAATAGCCAGTGGTACCTTGGCTAATGTTATCAGTCCCAATGTAGTTTAGTGTTTATTTATGCAGCTCAAATATAAAATGTAACGGGGTTATACATATCCAATATTCATTGTCTTTGCAAATCACTATGATTCTAGATCATTTGCACACTAATACGAATCTTCAGTTGCACAAGGTTAAAAAAATTAAATGAGTTGTTTGTCTTGCATATAAGCTATTTTAAAATGTGAAAATTATACACTGGTGTTTGTGGATTTGTGTGCATGTTTTATATTAATAACATGTTTAAATCTGATGATAACCAACTTTCATTTTTATTATTAACTTTGAGATTGCATTTGCGAAACTTCCAATATCAAACACAGAAAATTATTACAAGGAGCAAAATGTTTATTATAATTCATGGCAAAAGTATTCTATTTTTATACCAAAAAAATTAATATCTTAAGGCAAAGTTGTATTTATAGTTTTTTGTCCTCTAATTCTGTAATTAGGAAAAGAAGTGAAGTGGTATCAAAGATAATAGGAGAAGCAACTGGAGGATATTGTCTGTCTAAATGTGAGCCTGCATTACATTTATAAACTCAATAATATAAAAACAATGAGGAATTCTGTGCCACTTAAAGACTAATCAGATTTATTTGGCCATAAGCTCTTTGTGGGTAAAAACCACTTCTTCAGATGACTCCATACATTTGAAGATGTAGTTTTTACCTATGAAAGCTTATGCCCAAATAAATCTGTCAGTTTTTAAGGTGCCACAGAACTCCTTGCTGTGTTTGTAGATACAGACTAACATCACTACCCCATGAGACTAGCTAAAATTATGATTCCAAGTAAAACAGTCTTCTGATTTTATTCCTTATGGAATTTGTCATACAAGTTAATTCCCTCCTTTGCACCCTCCTTCCCTCTCCGCCCCCCATTCAGTGTCTGCAAGAATCTTTTGAAAAATTGACAGAGCTGTTCACTTTCCAGAAATGTGTTACACTTTTAACCATCTCAGAAGTAAGAGTTTGTATTTCATTTTAGGACTATGGCTGTGTCTAGACTGGCAAGTTTTTCCGCAAAAGCAACTGCCAGCTGTCTACACTGGCCGCTTGAATTTCTGCAAGAACACTGACTTCCTACTGTCTGAAATCAGTGCTTCTTGAGGAAATACTATGCTGCTCCCATTCGGGCAAAAGTCCTTTTGCGCAAAGCTGTTGCACAAAAGGGCCAGTGTAGACAGCTCAGATTTGTTTTGCGCAAAAAAGCCCTGATCGTGAAAATTGCGATTGGGGCTTTTTTGCGCAAAAGCGTGTCTAGATTGGCACGGACGCTTTTCCGCAAAAAGTGCTTTTGCAGAAAAGCGTCCGTGCCAATCTAGATGCTCTGTTCCAAAAATGCTTTTAACGGAAAACTTTTCCGTTAAAAGCATTTGCGGAAAATCGGACGCTTGCCAGTCTAGACGTACCCCCTATGTTTTACTAATCCATTTGGACACTGAAGTATATCTGAAAGCTCTATTTTACGAGGATTGCTTTGTGGAATGTGGGAGGAATCCAACAGAATCTATAAAGGAAATTGGTCTGAGGCCTTGTTAGTGTCTTTTTTAGGACCTCTGTCAGATGCATACCGAAGCTCCATTGTTACAGAATGAACCCAGTCCCCCTTGCTGTCACCAATCTTTTAGCTTATAGATTTTGCTATGTCATCCTTGGATCGATCATTAATCACAAATATGTTGTTTTCACAGTTCTCTTTCATCAGCAGTGTTAGGATTATTAATCATAAGCTGGTTGTTTTCACAGCTATCTTCCATCTGCTTATCTTGTTCTTGATTTAGGATAGATACCTTTTGGACTTTCGGCTCGTCAGTCTGCACTTTTCAGCCATTAGGGCCTCAAGGTCTTGATTATGCTGGCACCTTAGTTTTTTCATTCCCTCTTGTAATTTGCTGCATCTTTTATCTATTTAGATACACATGTACCTCACTCATGCAATAGCACAATGATGTCTAACAAGACAGAACAAGCCCTAACAAAGCAATCTCCAATATTACTAAGTCAGTATAGAACATCGATTTATAAACTAACATTAACATAATTTCACCAGATAAGTGTATAATAAACTTTCTTCATCATAAAATAAATGATTGTACCCCAAGAGGACATACCATTACTCACTCTATGTAGTATTGTATCAGAATCAGGATCCTGACTTTGAATTAAAATACCGTCTAGTCCACCTTTACCAGAGATAACCTCATTGTAATGTAGTGCACTGGGGAGGGAGGTGAGTAACTAAAATAGGAAAATGCCTGTGCTTTCATGCATTAAGGGTTTTGGTGAGTGGCTAAGATGATCCTAAAAAACATTTATTTATTTTTTAGACCTCCCTTTGCTTAGTGATAATTGTTCTAAACCTCTTTGTCAAAGTCCCTGGAAAATCCTGCTTGAAGTTCTCACCAAAATATAAATGTCATTTTTATAGGCTGTCATTGGTTGGAAGTGTTTGGGAGAGAGTTGTTTAGTTTTTTATAGCACAGTAACGTTGGATTATATCCTTTCTGTTAATTTTGTAAGCCACCTCAAATATTTTAAATGGAGAGGTGGGGCAAAAATATTTTAAAAAAATAAAGGGTTATTTCTCTGTAAGTACAATACAGGCTGCACCTCTTTAGTCCGGAACCCTTGAGACCTGACCTGTTTCTGAAAGAGAGAATTTTCGAGACCACGGGAGGTCAGTATTGTCTAGCAGAATTACCAACATTTCCACTGCTTTTATAGTGCTTTTAGAGGACATTTAGGAGTAAATTAGAACTAAATAAGAGCACAGAACACGGACAGCCAGGACTGTAAACAAACTTTGAGACCCCGGGAAACTTGGCCACATGCATGAAAACTGGACATCCATCTAACTAAAATCATTCTGGACGACGGATGTTTCTGGATTAGAGAGGTTCAACCTGTAGAATAGATATATACTTTTTTGGATGAAAAATAGTTAAGTACTCATTGTGCAAAAACAGATTTGTCTTTTATATCTCTTATTTTTTTCATTTAGCAATTCGTTTGGGAGGGGAAAAGTCATCGACACTCCTCTCTCTCTCCATTGCTCAAGACTTCTAGCAGAACTTCTGGCTTTTCCTAAGGAACAGGATATAAGAAAGATGGCTGGTATGATCAGGAAAAATCCAGAGCAGATCAGCACAAAGAGACTTTTTAAAAGTTCTTAATTATATGAAGCAAAATACTTTTTACATATGAAATTGTTATTGCTGCCATCAATAAACACATGGTGCACTATTCTGGTCTTTGCCTTGTACTTTACTTATCCTTAGGTATTACTTAAATTTCACTGTTCTCCTTTTTATTCATTTAGAGTGGACTTAGCATCCAATCCTGCATCCATTAAAGAAATAGCAAAACTCCTATTACATTAAATAGAAGCAGGACTAGATGCTTAATATTTTATATTTCTAGAATACCCATGATAAAACTTGTTAGAACGTCACCCGTAATTATTGTAGAGTGGAATCATGGACTGATTCCCACACAGCTTGCTATGTTTCTTTTCCCAAATTACCTAAGGCCAAAGGTATGACTGTGTGTTAGACTGTTAGCAGAATTTGCTTAAAAGGCTAATGAAGCATAATTGGTCAGTATTTCCAGTGATGTCCTAAATAATTTTAGCTAAATACTTCCTTTTTTTAAATTGACTGCTGTGGAAAGAGATATTGTCTGAATGTGACACAGCTTTGCATCAACGTACTTTTACTGGGCTTACAACACCAAGGACAGACTCAAAGGCACAGGAGAACATAGAGTACACTTTAACTGTTGAATATTAAATTCTCAATTTTTCTTAGTTTCACATTTTGCTTTTATTGCTTCAGATACTGTTGGAAATGTTTTAATTAATCTTCCTTGAAGCTTGACAAAGGTGCCTCATGTGGGGAAGGCTACATTTCATTTTAATACTTATTGCAGAATGGGTGAAATTTCATCCCTATACAGAGAACAGTGCAACACCTTGTCCCATTTAAACTTTATTTGGATGGCTGAAATGGGACTGGAGTTGCGTATAAGGGAAAGAACAAGTTAAAAATTACTTAGACAAATTAGATGTCTTCAAGTCACTAGGGCCTGATGTAATGCATCCTAGAATATTTAAAGAGCTGATTGAGGAGATATCTGAGCCATTAGCAATTATCTTCTAAAAGTTGTAGAAGATGGGAGAGATTCCAGAGGACTGAAAAAGGGCAAATCTAGTGCAAATCTATAAAAGAGGAAATTAGGACAATCTAGGGACTTGCAGACTAGTCATCTTAACTTCAATTCCCAGAAAGATAATGGAGCAAATAATTAAGCAATTAGTTTGCAAACATTTAGAAGATAATAAGATGGTAAGCAATAGCAGGCATTTGTTGAGAACAAATCATGTTAAGGTCACCTAATAGCTTTCTTTGACAGAGTAACAAGCCTTGTGAATGAATGGGAAGTGGTAAATATGATATATCCTGATTTTAGTGAAGCTTTTGATATTTTCTTGCATAACCTTCTAGGAAATACAAACTAGATGGAACTGCTATAATGGGAGTGCATAAATAGCTGTAAAACCATTCCCAGAGAATAGTTACATTTCACAATGGTAATGGAAAGGTATAATGAGCAGGTATCACTACTGGGTTATTTAATATCTTCACTAATTATTTAAATAATGACATAGAGAGTACATTTATAAAGTTTGTGGATGATGCCAAGCTAAGAGAGGTTGCAAGTGCTTTGGATGATAGGATTAAAATTCAAAATGGCCTGGACAAACTGGAGAAATGGTCTGAAGTAAATAGGATAAAATTCAATAAAAACAAATGCAAATTCTACATAGGAAGGAATAATCAGTTGCACACATGGAAAATGGGAAATGACTGTCTAAGAAGGAGTACTGTGGAAAGTGATCTGAGGGTCATAGTGCATCACAAGCTGAATAGGAGGCAAATGTGACACTGTTGCCCCCCCCCCCCCCAAAAAAAAGAGCAAACCTCCATCAGGGATGTATTGGCAGAAGAGTTGTAAGCAAGACACAATAAGTAATTCTTTCACTATTCCTCGCTGATTGGGTGTCAGCTGTAGTATTTTGTTTAACTCTGCATCTAACGAAGTAGGTCTTTACCCACGAAAGCTTATGCTCCTATACATCTGTTAGTCTATAAGGTGCCACAGGACTCCTTGTCGCTGTTTAACTCTGGGAGCCACATTTCAGAAAAGATGTGGACAAATTGGAGAAAGTCCAGAGATGGATGTTCTATTTAGTCTTGGCTTGAGTTCAGGGGCCTGGACTATTAAGACCTTCCTGTGATTCTATATGACTAGGGAAGAAGTTACTCACCTTCGTGCAGTAATGATTGTTCTTCGAGATGTGTTCCCGTGGGTGCTCCACTTGTGGTGTCATCTGCACCGGCAGCAGGAACAGCACTTACCACTCGAAGAAGAATCATTGGGGTCTGCAACCAGTCCAGTGGCCTTTTTGGGACCTGTGGGGACTCTCCTCTGTTTCTTGATCATATATGAAGCATTACTTCTCTGTTCCCTCTCGAAGCCCCTTCCAGTACTATGATTCTAAGATTGTGATTGTCCTCTGCATAAAGGTGACTTGCACCCAGCATGACAATACGTAGGTTTGGCCGGCCCCTGGGCCACTTCCTTCCATACCTTGTGTCTAAATTAGTTTTTAGTTGAACATTCCTCCAATCTAGGGTTAATAATGCTTGTGGCCCTCTTGTGTTCCTTGCCAATGGTTCTTGGTAGGGTGGCCCCATCCCTTCCCATGTTTCAGCCTTAATGGGGTTTGTAAACCCCAGCCCCAGCTGTATTAATAAACATGCATGAAAGTATCATCAATTCGTGGGTGAAAGCTGCTTTTCTCTCTACCAAGTGCTAATACAAAATGTACCAGGAACATGAGAAATACTACATCAAAAAAAGGGTTCATACCGATGTAATTAAATACATTTGTATAATGTATAAAGCACATTTTGTGGTCCCAAATGTGCAAACACTTAGGCACATGCTTTACTCGTAAACGTGTAAGTAGTCAGACTGCAGTCAAACTTTACAGTTAGTGTGTATGTAGGTGTTGGCAGGACCTTGGCCTTGTAGATAAATGAAATTTCTATCTAGAGTAAGTTTCTTTTTTAGTCAATTTAATAAAGAACAGGAATTTTAGCCACCGTAGTAGATCCTAAACAATGGCCTGAGATTTCCTGATTTAAATTCCAAATCCTTACCCAGAGACCATGAGTCAGTCTGATCAATTCAACCAAATTGTACATGCAATTAAAATGACCAGATACATTTCCCCTCCAGCATTATCAATGAGACCACTTACAGCAGTTATTCAACTTCACAAAGCTGTACAGATTATAATACTAGTTAAAAAGTAGTTTTGTTTTTCCAATGCTAGTAGACTATATGCTTGGACAAGTCTTATTAAGGCCAGAGCCTTACAATCGATATATCAAAGCAGTGAAATTGGAATTATTTTGTATAATATTCTGAAATCTCTTTCTGCTTTGAACTAAATCCAGAAAAACAGCAGTCTGAGTTAATGAAATGCAAAATTTTGACTAAAAAGCCAATTTAATTTATCTATGAACAGTCAAATAATCTGCGCAAAATATAATGTGCCTTTCCTCTATGGCGCACACATGCGAGTATGAAAAATCCATGACATTTGTCTTCCTCCAGCCACATATGTTGTTTAGCAGTAAACCTGGGCTTGAATAAAGATACTAACTGGTTATCGCACTGCAAAGCCAGTTTCCCCTGCCTTTGAATTCATATTTTCACATCAAAAGCACTTACCTGTCAATTGTAGGACCCATGATAATTAAGTTAACATCTTTTGCTGTTATTTCCACCCCATTGAGTGGGTTTTATCCATGAAAGCTCATGGTCCTATGTATTTTTGTTAGTCTCTAAAGTACTATGGGACTACCCATTGTTTTTAAAGTTACAGACTAACACAGCTACCCCTCTGAGACTTTTTAGAAAACTTGTATAACTAGCCACTGACAGATTCTCATAGTGAAAGAAGGGAACTTCCTATGTCTTTAAGTTGGTGCTTTAGGCTCTTGAGTATTTGTTAATGTTTACATCAACTGCTTACTCAGAGGAAGGGTTTTTTAGTTTTTAAATGAAATATTGTCATAGCATTTAACTCTGATCATTGATGCAACATATGGAAACAAGAAGATGATAATATGGGTCTCTCTCTTATTTTCTTGATTTACATAATGCATCTGGGCGCACAAACTCAGCTGTATTAGTAATCAGTCTAAATCATTTGTCAATCAAAATACAATAAATATGTCACCCATGCAAGAAAGAAACAAAACGAAAAATCTTCAGTAAGCCTTCTTTTTCAGAAAAAGCCATGGAGAAGTAGACTTTCAAGTGTGCCTTGAAAGTTAACAAACTTTACTTTGGTTGGGCTAACAGGAGAAGTAAATTCCTGATTCTAAGTTTCTCCACTGAGAACATTCTGCTGTCAGTCTTCTTACACGTACATCTAGGTCAGCAGTTCTCAGATTGCTGCCCAATTAGCACACAACTGTGGCCCAGCTGCATGCTAAAGGCTGCCTGGCCTGCAGGCTTCAGAGGTCTGGGACATCCTTGTGGTTGGAATCAGGGTTGCCACCCATGGGGGTGGGGGCTGGAGACTCCAGCTCTGCATAGTCCTTTTTTGTCATAGCAGCCAGCCGGCCCTGCATGACTTTTCATTGGCAGGGCAGCTGGTCAACTCCATGTAGTCCCTCATCAGTGCAGTGACCAGCTGGCCCACACGATCTGAGGTTACAGGGGGAGCCATGTTATGGGGGTCTGAGGATCCAGGGCTCCCATACAGCCCCATGGGGTTGTGATCCAGGGCTGCCACCTAGCACCAACAAAGTTAAGGAGTCTTGGGCGGCTGGCTGGCCTCTGCATAGGGGTGGGGGATAACACAGCCCAGCCCCTGGAGCCCAGGTTACACAATATGAGAATCATATGCAATCCACAATGATAAATATGTTAAGAACCAATGTTCTAGGTAGAGCTGATTGAAACTTGGATTTTCTGCCTAGGACACTATTGATCAATCAAAACATTTGTTTTGATAAAATCAAAATTTGTTTTAATGTTGACTGTATTTTATA